GAATGCTACCATAGTTGGACTCCTCAGAAATCTTCTCAACTTCAGTGCTTTCTTCATCTACCGATCTATGCTTAACCAACCCAAATCTGTAATCTCTTTGCTTTTCTTCCTACGATTGTACACGATTATACCCCATGTTAGGTTTATCTGGACTGGTAAAGCATGATACAAGTCTTGGCACCAAAGCAAACACCATACCAGACCTCGTCTTTTCTTTAGAACCAGCCACAACAATCCTCGTCTTTTCTTTCGAACCAGCCACATCTTTTGAAAGGGATGATGATGCACCAAAAGAAATGTCCCCTAACGTTCGAACCTTAGCAGAACTCACATGACCATTTAAGTGGTCACGTGTTCCACTTTTAGGTCCAACGCCTGATGGGGGAAAACCTAAATGACCAGGCCCACCAACACCCCACATCTCACCCGAAGACCCATGTTTTACTGACTGGTTATGGGGTTGGGCTAGCCTCTCTGATTGTCCAACAAGAAATTCCTCCAAATTACCTCCATCTGTCCCCACACCTAGACCTTTGTTTGAATTTGAACTTGTAACTACCACACCTTCAATATTAGGATATGTTACTGCCTGAGTATAAGTCCTAACCTGAGCCGTTGGATTTTTGGTTTGTGGTTTTCATTTACCAATAAAAGAGGGAATCTAGGTCACACCTTTCCTTCTACCAGCCTCTGCAGTTTCCTTAAACTTGAAACTTTTTGTTTGTCTCTGTAATTTCTTCTCTCCAAGGTTACCTTGAGACTAATTAGTCATGTCATCATCTTCTTATCCAACCTGCCCAACCTTCCACCACAGTGCTTCAATGGAGGTAGCAAGCTAAGCTCTATATTTCTTGACCATCTGAAAATACTTCTAAAGATCTTGGGATGAGCTTTGGCTTTGCTTCAACCATTCTGATTAGCACCACACTCAGATCCGACACATCAAAGAATATCAAGTCTCCTCCACACACTTTGCAATTCTCTTGAACACCTCAGCCGAGTAGAGATGAAACGACAACCCTAGAACTTTCAGCTCGATACAAGCTGTGGGTTCTACTAGTCTTTCATTACAAATTGGTGACCATTTTTCTATCAACACAGTTGGCAAATCAGGACTGTAATCAGTCCAATTTTTGATGTAAATTCAATGAGAAAAAACAGAAAAGAAGAAGGAAGAGAGAATAGAGAGAAGAGAGATGAGAGAAAGAGTGTGGGTTGACTTGAGTTGCTGCCCCACTCAACTATTTACATTAACATTAAAATATAAGACTGCAATTACACTAATGCTCCTCCTTACATAAGCAAATAACTAACAAAACTAACATTGCTAACATCAATCTAACTGGAAACATAAAGCAGGAAATAACTAACAGCTGTAGTGCGGACCACAATAAATAAAGTAACTGAGCAATATAACAGCACTAAGTATTGCTCTACATCTCTACAAACATCAAGCCTTGTTTTATTACTGTTGAGACTACTGACACAACTGCAAAATCTGGTGCAAGCTTCTGTATAGATGCCACAGACTTTTGTTCATCAAAGGGGGAAATCTGCAACATCTCTGTAGTCTTCAAAATCAGTTGAATCTCTTCTCCCAAACTCTTGCAGTCTATAACTTTCTTATTTACCTAGAGTACAAGTTTATTCTCCCAGTCTTCTTTGGTTTGTTTACCCACATTCTCATCAAACCTAACCTTGGATGAATTTGCATATCACCTTCTGTATCAGCTTCAACCTCTTCTGAAACCTCTCTCTACTTCTACCAACCTCTCTTCAGATTGTTTCTTAATATCTTGATCATTTTTTGGACCACACTTTTTTTCATTGACTACCACCAAGAACTCCTTTATTGCTTGTGCTAACTTATCCCAACCCAAGGCTTCCCTTCCTTCAGGGAAGCGGGTAAATTGCTTCAGCCCTTCCTCCATAGTATCCATGGATTCCAACGAACCTACCTTTGCTGTTTTCCTTTCTTTTAGCAACATATTTTTTGTCCGTCTTCCACAAGGCAGCACTTCCACTCTCTTGTTTGCACTGCCCTCTTAGTTCCATCAATAACACCTTGAAACTAGGGCACTGCATTTACTTCAAGGATCAAAGATGCTTTTTGCAGTTCAACCATCTTTAAGAAAGCCATCTTCTGGTCCACTTCTTCCAAGATGAACATCTTTACCTCAACCTTCAGAACTTTCTTCCATCTCCTTGTCGGCACGAAAATCACCATCCATGGCCAAGAAGCCCACATTAGGCCCTCTTTCATCAGAAATTAGTATGTCAAGGAGCTGTTCCATCTTGTTGTCCACAACTCCACATCATTTTGATATTTCTTCAACTTCTTTGAGGACCGGTCACTTAAGACTTGAGACTCCCCATATTTTGGTGCTGAGGATGAGTGATAGGTGTGTCATCAATATCATCCAGTTCAATGGGACTAGTCTCTTGTGTTTCCTTGTCAAATGGTGTTGGTGAAGAACCTATCACTGGTCTTGGCCTTGTGCTAGAATACCATCCAACCTTCCCAGTAGCACATGCCCCATCAAACAAAGGCTGACACTCATCAGCAAATGGCAATCCAACGAGACTGGATCTGCTCCTCACACCTGGTGCCTCACAGGCGCCTCAGATGCACATCCTATCATGCATTGGGAACATCTCCCGTACTTATTAGTTATAATTCATGGGAGATGTTCCCAATGCACAGTGGATGTGCCTGTGAGGCGCCCATTTGTGAGGAGCAGATCCCATCACCAATCCAACATGCCTAAACACAGATGCTTTTGGGTAGTCCTGTTTCCAATCAAAGAAACTATCCTATGAGAACCCATGCACAAACACAGATGCTAAGCCTAAAAGTGTCAATAATATCTTTAAGAGAGAATCCCACAGCTCGTTTGTCCATCAACAGTCTCAGTCACTGGATTGTACCCATTTCTAGTCTTATTGATATGCGCTGTCCACAATTTATATTTTCTCTTAAGTTAGTTATTCCCATTCTTCAACTGTTTCTAGGAAAACCTCCTCTTGAAACTAAGGGCCTGTTCGTTTCCCCTTAATTCTTATCTCTTAAGAGGAATCTTTTAACTTTAAGAGAAAAATGGGTGTTCGTTTCCTCTTATCTCTTATTTCTTAAAGTGCAATCATACAACTTTTTGTTTTCCAATGATACCCCCAGAAAGACAAACAAAAGCTCTTATATATGGGGTCAAAATGGATATTTGATAATTTTCAGAATTCAGAACATTCTCTGCATTCAGAGTTCAGAGGAAAGAAAAGTTCACCAATACCAATATACCTCTTAATGTAATTATTGCACTTTCAGATGTGAGACTTCAGAGCAAACGAACAGGCCCTAATAAAGACCTTGTCACTAATATGTAACGAAGATTCCTTAGAGATCCACCCTGCTTTCCATGAGATGCTATTTCTTCAAGACATGAATCAAGAAAACATTTTTGTAGTTCTGGATCCTTCCAATTTGTCCTATCACTATTGTCATCAGAAGCCATTGGCACCTCTATAAATAAGAAAAATAATGAACACAAATATCACAGTGAAGTATGTTTATTGTTTGGGGGTAGGGTAACAAGTCTATGAATGTGTCTACAGTGGGTTATATATGTTTGTATACACCAAATATATGTTGAGGTAGGAATTATACCTGAAAGTATAGAAGGTTGCAAGGGTGGGTGTATATGACCTGCCAAAAAACAACACAAAGAATCATAATAGGGTCAGCTATGTTAGCAAAGTGCATCAAATCCAACCATTCTCGTACTGTTATACACAAAAAAATGTCCAACCATTTACCCATCAAAGCATCATAAGAGACAAGTATTCAAGCCAAACATAATACACCATTCAAGTATTTAAATATATTCCAACAGATAGTAGGTTCACCATCGAAACACCCATCAATATTTGGTTTGATTTTATTTGTTCAAACATCCCTCAACTCCGACATTATGAGAACCACTCCTATCAGAGTAGAAATGATGTTTGAACAAATAGCACCACACTAAAACTGCTCTTACATAGGTATGCTCTAAAACCTGCACTGATTTTACACAACAATTCCATTAACAATCTCATTGCAATCAAAGTCAAGATGCAATATATAACTGCCCCATTCAAGCAATAAATAAAAGTTCCATTTAATATATAATGATCCTTATCAATTAATACATAATAGGGCCCTAAACATCATCCAATATAAAAGAAACCCATGATAAAACATTCCTAAACAAGAATGAAAAAAAAAAGAATGGAAATGTTCAATTTGGTAACAAAAAACAAGAAAGAAAAAAATCAACACTGGGAAGAATGGCATGAAGCATGTTTAAATGAACAACATTGATATACTATTTCAGTCACATTAAAAAAAATCAACAATGGGAAGAATGGAGATACAATGGCAAGATACATGTTTAAATGAGTAACATAGATATACTATTTCAATCACATAAAAAATATTCAATAGTAGGAAGAATGGAGTTCCAATGGTAGGATACATGTTCAAATGAGCAACACAGATATACTATTTCAGTCACATAACAAAGAAATTCAACAGTGGAAGCAATGGAGTTTTAATGGCAAGAAACATGTTTAAATGAGCAACATAAACATGATATTTGGCTACCTAAAAAAATTAACATTGGGAAAATGGGGATAGGTGGCATCTCAAATGGGCCGGAAGTCTGAAAAGCAAGTTTTTCAGACTTCAGGTCCCAAATTCATCGTTATCAAACGCCACCTGAGTGTATTGATTTTGATGCGCCTAGCTTGAATTGTGGCTGACATTGGACCACTTTAATGTCTGCTAACTGAACAAAGAGATTCATGAGATGCATTTGATAAAAGTCACTTGCATGAGTGTACTGCCTTGCACTTAATTATTGTATATTTATGTTTCCAAGAGGGCTAAACCTAATTGTTGTGTTCCATTCCAGGGGTTTGCGTGTAGTTCGCTAATTATTAGACTTGACAAAATCCTTTTGCAGGTCATAGCAGAAAGGCTATCAGAAGAGGAAATTGGTGGTTTGAAAGAGTTGTTCAAAATGATAGACACGGACAACAGTGGAACAATAACATTTGATGAACTAAAAGAAGGTTTGAAGAGAGTAGGTTCTGAGCTCATGGAATCCGAGATCAAGGACCTCATGGATGCTGTAAGCAATTTTTGGCAAATTTTTTAGCTAAAAGTTATGGTAACTGTAATTCATTTACCATGAGATCTATGGTATGGGAACTGTATTTTGAATCAATAGGACTGAAATGCTTGGGAAATCTTTTTGCTTTGTCTTTCTGTAAATTTTGTGATTGATATGAATAACCAATATGAAATGTTTGCATGGGCGAACTTGCAGGCTGACATCGATAATAGTGGAACAATAGACTACGGAGAATTCCTTGCAGCTACTATCCATTTGAACAAGATGGAAAGAGAAGAGAACTTAATAAAAGCCTTTTCTTTTTTCGATAAAGATGGTAGTGGTTATATAACCATAGATGAGCTTCAACAAGCTTGCAAAGAGTTTGGTCTCAGTGATCTTCATCTTGATGAAATGATCAAAGAAATTGATCAAGACAATGTGAGCCTTTTCTCATATGTCATGCTTTTAAAATCATATATTCACCATTCACATTCTCATACATTTTTTTTTTGTAGACCGCAAATCTTCTTCTCATTTTTTTATTACTTCTTCCCTTTCCATTTTCATGCTTAAAATCATATCTGGTTTTTTTATTTTGTAGGATGGGCAGATAGATTACGGGGAATTCGCCGCAATGATGAGAAAAGGCAATGGGGGAATAGGGAGGAGGACAATGAGAGGCAATTTAAATTTTAACTTGGGTGATGCCTTGAGAGTAAATGAGAATTAATGTACCGTAACAGGCTGACCAAAGCAATGAACTGTAAGAAATCTTTTGTATAATTAGGCAATACTTGGTAGAATGAATGAAATTGCTAAATCTTTTTCTTCCTTTCCTTGATTTGTTTTGCTACTATCTTCTTTTTTTCGTTGTCTTGCCTATCAGAATGTTTATATTTGAAGCTTAATTGAACTCATCAGTCCATTTATCTTTTGAGTGTGAAGTTTCTTTTATCTTCTATCATCCAACCGTGTGCAACCACGCAGATTAATAACTGGTTTTCTTTTACAGCTGAATCAAAGATGATGAAACGTCGAAGGCAAAGTTTTCAACATTTACAAAGATATTGCAGCTACACCTACATTGGTTTACTCTCACATACAGCATTTTTCATGCTTCTGAGTTCTGACTAGAAGAGTGTGCACGCGTGACAAAAAAAAATCTTGTAGTTGTTAGCATCAGCAGTTTTAGAAACCCTTACGATTGTTTAGATTTTAGAGCCAGACCCATTTGGCATTCAAACATGGTTCTTCAAAGTATTGGTACCATCGGTTTTGAAGGTCACCGAAATCATGTTTATTGGTTAATACCCTTCCCAGATATAACCTTGTTCAAAGCTTGATACCTTGGACAAATTGTATCCATGAATATCACTCCTTTGAATGTTTTATTTTTCCTTTATTTTGTTTTTTTTTTATAAGAGATATAAATGAGGGCAATCTAGGAAAATAACTACTCAAGGTCAGCTAACAGTATATAATCTAAACCCCAATCAGACTCCCTTTGAGCTGACTTAAAGACACGCTAAGAAGATTTAAACCTTCAACCTTCAGTAATAGACTTGCATTCTTTTTTTTTTTTGTAATCCATCGAGCTGCACCTCTAGCTCTAAGAAGTGTTGATTTTCCCCCTGAAGAGCATGAATGGTGATCATTGATTGAATCCCCTTCAATTATAATGTTGTAGTGCTGAAAGAAAGACGGGAGTTTGTGAGTCTCAATGAATGGTGATCATTGATTTTCCCCCCGAATAGCATTTTTTATATAATATTATATAAATTATAATTATATAATAATAAATAGGATATAATATATTAGTAAAATAAATATATATTTTTTTAATTTTATTATACTAATTTATTTAATTATTGTATATATAAGCAATTGTATACACAAAATTCATATAAAATTAAAATTTTAAGTTTTTTGTCAATTTTTTTTAAATAAATAGCGTTGGCCCGACCTGGCCCAATCCCAAATTTTTTCACCGGAAGGGCGGCACGGCCTGTTATGGCCCACGGGCTAACACGGCACGGCCTGCACTTTGTGCGGGCTACTCATGGGCCCAGCCCGGCGCGCTTTACACCTCTCATCCAAAGGAGCACATTTGACATGCCATCACTTCTTTTAGCGTGCCGTACAGTCATGCTCAAAAGATCTATTCTTATGATGCCTAACCACTATTACATCATTGTCTGGTATCCATATTCATTTCATTTGGATCCGAGATTTGATCATTCACCAGTGACCAGACTTGGACGGCTAATTGGCACTTTGTAAAAATATGATTTGCATCTTCCATTTCACCACAAAACTGACGCTTCGGATCACAGTTGAATCCTTTAAATTTTGTTTCTAAATACAAACCATTTTCCTCATCTTTGTTTTCAGAAGGGATGTGAATGGATACAGTTTTCTAAAATAATTCCTTAGGGTTTCAATTCTCCATTCCTTTGTATTGGAGTTTATGGCTTCTTTAACTTTGCAATTCTCCCCTTGTAGGGTTCCATTTGAAGGTGAGACCAGGTTCATGACTGATCCAATTAATAGTCCAAAAACTGCAAGAATTCCCATTTCCGATTTTCCATACTAAACCTTTTCTTCTTTGTTTTTTAATCAAAGTTCTTTGTTTACAAATTCCTCTCCATGCCCAAGAGAATATTTTGGAATTTTTGCATTAAGGAAATTTTTATTTTCTAGGTATTTTATTGTTTGGAGTTTGGACCCATAGGTTATTTTCTCTTTTCAAAAATTTTCAGCTTAATTTCATTAGATTTGCCTTGTTTATAAGGTCCATTTTTATAATACCAAGACCACTGTTTGCCTTGAGCATACAAACCTTGTTCCATTTGTCTAAAAACAAAGGGTTTTTACTTTTTTTATTTTCCCACTTTTTTTGTTTTTTGCAAACCATACATTTCTTTTAGATTCTGGGCCATAATCTCTTTGGGATTTTAGTTATTTTTGCCAAATATTTTACAATTTAGCTGGATTTTTTTTTGAAAAAAAAACATACTTGATTTTTGGAAATTAGAGCATTGATTAGATGCTTTAGCATAATTTTTTAAGGTATCTTTAACCTTCAGGCTAGCTAGAATTGAAGCTTTTGAGAAAATTAGATAGTTGCCTACAAATTGTATAATCAGATTATTCGGTGAATTTTTTGATGGTTTAATCCCCAAAATTTCTTTTCCTATTTCTAGTGAGTTTTTCCATTGGGGTGCTCATGGTTCGGTTAACCAAATCGTGACCCTATTTTCTAAGCTGAACTGATACCACCGGATTTTGGAAAATCATGTACTGAAGCCAATTGGTTATCTAGTTGATTAGTTTGGTTTGTCAGTTTTTTGGTTTTTTGATATTTATAATATATATTATAAATAAATATAGAAATATATAATAAAAATACTGAAAATATATATAATACATTATAATATAAATAATAAATAAAACCAAATTGAAAGGGTCACGGATATACAAAATCCTTGTTTCGAGGTTTACCCTATTTCAGGGGGTAGACAGTCCTTATATCGACCCCCTCTAAATGGGTTAAAAAAACTAAAAAAATGTATGATGTTACAAAGTCTGATATGCCCCCTTCTGATGAATTAGACTCTATCAGTACTTTGAACCTTCGATCAACTGCATAGCTGATTGGTTGCTGACTAGAACCAACTTGTAGATCTTTTCTAGCTGTTTGTTTTGATGTATTGTCATCGAAAATGGATACTTAATTCAAAGTTATGGCAGTTGAAGTATCAACACTCACATAGGTCCTATTTCCTCCTAGGCCCCAAAATTACAATTCCTTGGTATCATGACTCCAAATTTAATAGTCATGGATCAGGTCTAGAAGGTTAAACACGGCTTACCACTTTAAAATCCAAATTGGCCCTATAACATGTAGGATTCACATAAAATGCATGAGTCATGCAAACTTATTCAAAATGCTAAATTACAGGGTTGTAATTGTGCCAAACATTTACAAAATTATGTAAAATCATGTAAATTATGTGAAAAAGTGTGTGAGTTGTGTGTTAATCATGCAAAATGTGCATATGTGGGGGTATTTTGTCCAACACATGAATGTCTAAGAAGAAGTTTAGAAAGACAAAGTCAAGTGGCTATTGGCATTCTCTCTTAGTGAGAAAGAGACAAACTTGTCTTGTTTTGGCTACTAGTGGATGGTGGGACCTATTCTCTATTATTTTTTGGTTTTCTCTACAAGCCTCATTTGTGTTAAAGTTGACTCTCTTGACATCCAAAACTTATGTGTTGGATATCCTCTTTGCAAGTGAAAAAGGGTTTTCATCTTTCTTGCAATATACCAATCAACATTTTGGTTATTACTTTGTGTCCATCAAGTTAGTGTGGGTTTTTTGGATCTTCAACAGTGGTTTTGGAGAGGGTTTTAATAGTCTTGTTTGCTGAGGTCTTTCTCATATTTTGTTTGTTGAAATACATTATATTTGATTATTGTTTTTGTATATCAAACAGAGGTTCTTTTCTTTTGAAGTTGAAACTAGAGAAGTTGTAATTCCATTATTTTTGTTGATAGTAGAAGTTTCTTGAACTACGACCTTGTGGTTTTTACCCTTACACCAAGGGGTTTTCACATTAAATGTTTTGATGCATCTTTGTTCTTATTGTGCCTAATTATTTGCCTCGGTGAACACCATTTATTGTTTCTCCTTTTCATTTTACATGGTTGATTTGCACATTGTTATAAGGGATTTTAACCCCAACAAAGTGATATTAAAGCCATGGTTGAAGCATTTTGTGTGGATAAATCATGGATGCTAGTACAAATCATATGGTTATGTTGAATAAAAGAAAATTGACTATTTGTAAGTCAATAATAAAAGATTTATTGTTTTGTAGGGGCTTATATGAATCAATTGAAGGAGAAAAAGTCTAATTAGAAGGGATGTCCATTGAAAAATAAAAGAAACTTAACCAAAAATCTATAGATGTCATTAAGGCTTCATTTGGATGCGATGTAAATCAAGAACCGATGTAAAATTTACACCGGTTCGCTTTTGTATGCATTTGGTAAAATAGTGTAATTATTATCAATGTAAAACTACACTCCAGTTCAGTTTTGCGTGCGTTTGGATGGAGTGTAGTTTTATGTCGATAATATATGTAAAACCTCACCACCTTCAAAGTTTTACATCAATAATCGATGTAAAAACTACATCGATTTTATCGATGTAAAACTTTACATTTTTTACATCAATTTTCAAAATGCAACGGCCATTATATATACGGTTCAGTGTAAAATGTCATCAATGACGTTTTACACCTCGTCCACATGCAGCCTAAGCAATGGATTGAAAATAGCATCTTCTACTATGTTTTTATAAAAACTTTGGTACACTCTTTGGAAGAAGTTTGAAAGTAAATGAAAGAAAAATAGTGGAAAACAAAGTTTTTTGTTTAAGAAGCTTGTGAACTTAATGTTCAAGAATGACACTTCAATTATGGAGAATTTGAATAAAATACAAAGCATTGTGAATCACCTTTCCTCTATGAAAATGGTTTTACATTGATAAATTTCAAGTCTTGTTATTTAGTTCTGTGTATCTAAGTAACTCCGCACCCAATAAAGCTCTCACACTGAGTCAAGTTATAACTAGTTTGTTAAATGAAAAAGCAAGAAGATCAAAAACATCTAATTTATATTAAGGAGATGCACTTATTATAAAAAAACTAAGGGAGAAGCAAAGCTAGAAATCCACGATGCCATGACAAATTTAAAAGAAGGTCTAAGTAGAGAGAGAGAGAGAGAGAGAGAGAGAGATTTCATGCTATTATTGCAAGAAGCTAAGCATGTAAAGAAGGAATGCAGAAAATTCAAGAAAGAACAAAAAGAAAAATATGAAGAAAAAGAAGAAAAATAAACCATTGTAGTTGGTTTTGACAGAGAGGCAATCATTTTTCAAGGTGTGAGGAATCTTGCATTAATCTCACTTTTCATATATAAATTGGGTGGTTGATACCAGTGCATTCTACCATGCTACCTCAAGGAAAGAATTCTTTACTTCTTACAAATCCGATGACTTTGGTGTGGTGAATATGGGACAAAATGGAACTTTAAAAATTATGAGAAAAGGTCATGTACATGTGAAGACAAATGTTAGATGCAAATTGATTTCAAAGATGCGAGGCATGTTCCAAATCTTTGACATAACATAATTTCAATGAAAAGAATAGATGAAGGGTACTTAAGTCATTTTGGTAATGGTTGTTAAAAATTTTCCCAATGCTCTCTTGTGGTGATAAGAGGAAAGTAGTGTAATTTCTACAAGACCCAAGCTCACTTTTGTAGTGGTGATATATATAATATATATATATATATATATATATATATATATATATATATATATACATACACACAGC